TATGAAAAAAAGTAATGTAGTCGGCTTGCTATAGTAAATATAACATTGCTTCAATGACAATCCAATCACAGAATGTGATATGGTAAAATGACTGACCTTCCTCGAAATTCATACCTGTCCTCTAATTCAAGGGCAGTCGTGGCAATGTAACATGTTAGTTGACATGTCGAGATTGTACGCTGAACTATCATGGTTCGAGTCCCGTTGGGAGCGTTGATAAGACCTAGGCGAGCTTAAAACTGCAATCCATCCTTGCTTAGAACACCTTTTGGGGAGACAAGGCTATGTGAAATTCAATGGAAACCTAAGGTCTGCTCATCTGATTAAAATTAACTACCGCCCTCCTTATTACCTCAAAAGAAATAGGGTGAATACACTGTTAGGTAATAAAAACGTATATATTTTTTTCTATAATCATATGCGCAGGTCTCAGAGGGCCATTCACTTAGCCCTTCTTCACTAAAGTTTTCCTCATCCAGGCTAGGCTGGACTGCCGTTACGACTTCGCCTGAATAAGAATAGCTTTTAAAAAGTAGGCCTATGGGAAATTCAATGGAAACATGAGGCAGACTCATATGATTGTGGGAAAATTCAACTACTAGCCTTACCTTATCATCTTAAACGAGATAGGCTGAATATATTTCATATATAAGTGATTTACTGGTAGTCACCAAAACCTACTTATACAAAAAATAAGTTTTCTTCACCTCACACGATCTGAACTGACTAAAACTCTTATTCATATCAGTTATCTCATGAATCTGAATAAAAGAGACTTAAGATATGAAGACCAAGGCGATGTGGCCTCTGGTATGGTCGCAGTCACCTTTCGATTTATAGAAGTGGGTTGACCTCTTTGTCGCAACTCGGTCTTGTTGTCAGGGCGATTTAGTAGAACGCACCTAATCCGAAGTCGTCTGCCATAATAGTTGTCATAATTCCTAGCATCAGAACATGGACTTGGTACATTCTCAGACGTTTCGCCGGCGTCATCAGTGAGTGTTGCCAATCTCCGCACCAAGCTAACTTTTCAAAGAGGCAATGCCTGATATCTGCAAGCATGGGAATCAGAGAATAGGCACTCTGCTCGTACGTCTTAAAATGTATCAAGTCCACTATCTGATGCTGGGAATTTTGACAACTTCTATGGAAGACGACTTCGGACTAGTTTCGTTCTACTAAGTCCCCGTGACAACAAGACCAAGTTGCGACAACGAGGTCAACCCACTTCTATAAAAGAGACTGAAGCTTGCTGTAAAAACGATTCTTCTGCTTCTCTTTGCCTCAGGCTCGCCCAAAAGTTTGCCATGTTCAGGACGTCAGTGGTGCTCTAAGGTATTTCTGTGCTCCATCTTGTCAATTAGCCTCCATGTCGTCCACCTGACCTCCTGGCTGTTCGGCCTTATTGTCGTCAGCCTGGGGCTGTACTATCAACTGCTCATCTTCCATCAGGCTGTAGAGCTGTTCACCGCCCAACTGGCGGTGTCTCTGCTCTTTGTCGCCGTTCTGAGTGCCACGGGTATGGCGATCACCTCGTCCCTCTCGCTCACGGTCGGCTCGAGCAGTGACCGCGGCATGTGCTCAGGAATCTCCAGTGGCGTTTGCAGCCTCCTGTTCGTCTTTAGCCTAGCCCTGCTCGTCGCATTTGAGCTGGCCTGTGTCTTGGCCGTCGGTCCTCTTCGTCAGGGCCTCGTCAGTCAAGCCCGTGTCTATCTTCAGATGGGTTTAGCTTATGCCATTCAGGACGGACCCTCTGCCTGGCTCGATAATCTACAGGCCGATCTGAAGTGCTGTGGCGTCAAAAGCTTCTCCGACTGGCACAAGTCAAGCTCCGGTACACCACCAGACAGCTGCTGCCTCCTCGAAGACTGCATGTCCAACTCACTCGGACAGGTCTACTGGTCTTCAGGTTGCCTCGACGTACTGCTCGGCTTCGTCGAGCATGAGGCTGTCTTCTTCGCCTGGCTGAGTGGACTGGCTCTGCTTCTTCAGTCGACAGGTCTCATCGTCAAATATATGTCACTCTAGGCAGCTCATGAAGCTGGATATAGAGATTCGGCACACAAGCCGTCCATCGGGACTGCATAATCGCGTTGTAAGGGAGAGATGGAGAATAAAAACCATTCTCCCTTGTCTTACCTTTGCCATCATACCTTTAGTCGACCAGCTAAACCTTCTTTTCGTCCAGCTCCGCCAATAATTTTCAATCTCTGGAAGCCTGAGCGACCAGATATCTGGATAAAGGCCTATCAAAAGTGACTAATTTCTGTCACTTTGTAGGTCTTATTGGAGATTTGTTATGTGAAAAACAGTGCCAACATTGTTAGCCGGAAGTTATCGCTTGTCTCGAGCCTATTTGCTCACTTGTAAAAGACAATTTGCATTAAATTCTGTAAATTGAAAACTATATGAACCACTTCACTCTCAAGCCGACCATGTGTAGTATGATAATTCGTTTTGAGAAGAAAATGATACCTCTTGTTGCTAAGAGGCAATAGAGTAAATGGTTTGTCTGCGGATTCAACATTATTAAGAATTGAAGATAGGATTTCCTATTGCCTTAAGGAATTCGCAGGCCAGCAAATACCTACCCTTAGGGTAAACCAATTTCACTTCAGTCTCGTCAGAGAGGAGACGTAGAAGAGAGAGAAAAGAGCAACCTAATGCAGAATTTGCTATCCATACGGAAACTGAGACTTAAGGCTTGGTAATTCATTTTAGAGGAGCCTAAGGCATAGAGCTATAAGACTCAAACCATCTATAATATCCAGGCTGCCAAGTTACTTTATTGCACTTTTTGACTTCTAAGTGGAATTTGAGATGCAAATACTCTATTTGGTGGGAA